TGACCAAATTCGGATAGATCGTGGGAGTCGAAGTGCCAGATGATGCCCACACAAAACAGTGGGACTGCTTCAGTGCATAGGTGTGTTTCCAAGGAAGAGATGCAGGATTTGGGATTTCGCAGGACAAGCTCACAGCAAACTACAGCTGCACAGATCCTTACATTTTTTAATTCACGTGTGGTGGCAGCATCAATTGTTCTAACCAGATTCCACATGAGGGTGTGTTCAATGGACCTGTGGTAATTTAAATACCCGGAATACCGTAACCAGGCTAGTTTATTGGAAACCATAGTTATACAACGGATGTTAGTAAATAAATGCCAACAGGTGGAGCTGGGGAATTCCTAATGGATGGGGCTGTCGTTGAATGGGCACCATCTTTTGTTGTTAAAGCAGGAGGGTTAATTATTTGGGTCCAGTGTGCCCTGTATGTTAAATGTGTAGTGACTGTGCTTGTCACTGTATGGTGCCGGGGCTTGCAAAGCCACGGCCGGTAATGTGTTGTCATGGGCAGCCCGGGTTACGGGGTGTAGTACCAGCCCTAGTGGGGCTTGGGTGTGTGCTGGTCAGCGGGGAGGCACCGCGAGCAGTGTGGGCTCCCGGTGAGGGAGTGAGAGGGAGCGTCAGCCAGCCAGCGTTAGCTTGGGGCATGATACGCTGGTTGATCTGCTGTCACGTGACCAGACGATATTGGAGGGGGGTTGGACGGAGGCCGTGGGGCGGTCACGTGGTTCAAAGCTGTCAGGAACCTTCGAGAAGGAGCTCAAGAGGCCTGGAAGGTGGGTGGGGCAAAGGGTGGAGCCAGTCCGAGCCCCGGGGGCATATAAGGAGGGCTCCGTGAGGAGCTCGGGGTTATTCCTGTGCTGGGGTTACGAAGATCCACGTCGGGGAGAAGAAGCCTCTAGCCACGCGGTCCGGGACCTTGTTTGTGGTCCGGACCGGGATAGCGAACCGTGTATAGTTCTGCCGTAGCGTGGTTAGATGGGCATTCGAAACCCGGGTGTAGATCGTGTTGTGTTATGTGTTAATGCGGAATTAAGTGTTGCTCCCAAGATAACGTCTGCGACTCAGTTGGACTCGCTACAAATGCAAACATTTTCAAATATCCTGAGTTCATTAAATGAGGGGTTGATTATACTAAGAGTGGTGGCTTAGTCTGAACAAAGAAGAAACGTCATGCATTTATATTACTATCCAATATGCCTTTGTCCTGGGAGGTACAGAATTTAATATAATATACAGAAGCAATGGAAATAACCCCCCCAAATGATCTTAGCTGTGGTCAGGTATTTAACCCTTGGTCACTTGTATTTGTAGCAGTGCACAAACCGTTACACCACCAATACACACTGCCCCATCATGGGGTAAAGTATGGTCAAATAACCCCACAACCAACGTGGGACAGCATAGGGATGCTGTCATTCAACGGTACATCAACAAGGCTGTGTTATAACGTTATCTTCTGAGTCACAAAACGAGATGTCGCCCTAACAGGCATACAGATGGACAGTACTAACACGTTCAACCAAATTTGGAAACACGTTCAACCTTTGTTGCAAGGTGTTAAATCAGGTCTTAAAACAAAATGAACACTGCCCACATTAGAATGACATTATTTTAGCGTGATCTTATTTTTAATAAGGCCTTAGTGTGTGAGGGCATCAGTTTCCAACCAATCAAATGCCTTTTCGTATAGTCTACAAAAGTTAATCTACTTTGCAGCCTTAGTCGTGAATCTTCTTTGGTTCTTTCGGTAAAGTCACGTAGAATGAGAATAAAATAATAAATTGATAAAATAACACAATAATATGCTCACGACGTTTCGGCCACAACACAAGCGGCCTTCATCAGGTGAAGGGACGAGACTGTCTGGTAGGACAGCGCTGGAGTGAAAAAGCCACGTTCAGATCACGACCTTAAAGCTGTGTGAGAGGAAACAAAGCGCCTTGACAAAGGAATTAGCATATAATTTAGCATTGAAATGGCTGAGTGATTAGCTTGTGACTGGTCACAGAAATGGCTATGTTAAAAGTTAAAGCATACACATCCGCAGAGGCACCCCTTGACAAAGGAATTAGCATAGAATTTAGCATTGAAATAGCTAAGTTAAAGCATACACATCCACAGAGGCACCCCTTGACAAAGGAATTAGCATAGAATTTAGCATTGAAATAGCTGAGTGGTTAGCTTGTAACTGGTCACAGAAATAGCTATGTTAAAGTCAGAGCATACACATTCACCGAGGCACTTAGTACAAATCAAACAGGAGAATTTAGCATTGAAATAACTAGGTGAATTTAGCATTGAAATAACTGAGTGATTAGCTAGTGACTGGTCACAGAAATGGCTATGTTGAAGTCAAGGCCTACACATCTGAGCTATTCACAGTACTATATAGTGAACCAATGAAAAACTAAAATATAAATTACCTTAATGTTATCAATAAACTCTATATTCTCCAATCAGCTAAGCTACCAACAATACGTCGTTATATATCACAATGCTATATGGCGAAAAAATGGGTGGATTCTTACCCTCAACTTAGCAACACGGATAGCTACGGGCCCCGTTCAGACGGACGAGTTCATCCATGGTCAGAACAGAGGAGGGGGAGAGAGACAGCTGCGAGGCGCTATTATACTCCATGTTGTAAACCATACCATTAACCGTGGTGTGAGAGGTATTAAGAGTCAATGCTGGCGAAAGAGCTGCGGTCTGAAGGTCATCGTAAAATACAATTAATTAAGAACAGAAATTGTTTAAGACATCTTTCCAATGGTTACTAAGCCAGAATCCATCTTCTCGGTTGAAATTGTCTCTGTGCTTGTATATGTGAATGGCCTCATGAACGAATCTCTCATGGTAGCCGGTTGGTTTGCAAAGAACCTCCGTCTTGGAGAAGTCAATGTCATGTGAGCCCACTGAATTATAACAGTGATCTGCCACGGCAGAGGAGTTCGTTCTACCGTGTTTCAAGTCTGCTTTATGTTCGCGGATGCGGTCCGAGATATGTCGTTTGGTTTCTCCAATGTAGCTACTACCACAGAGGCACTTTAGTTTGTAAACGCCCGGGTACTGTATGTCTGGAACAGCATCTTTTACAGATGGAACTAAATCACGGATTTTATGTACTGTTGAATCAGACCTGGATCTTGTGTTTATTCAGGATTTTGGAGATCTTGTTAGTGACCCCTGCAATGTAGGGTAAGGTGATGGTTTTGAGTGGCTCCACAAGAGGATCCTTCATGACTGGAGTGATGGCTTTGCGGATTGTGTAGTCGGAAAGCCATCACTCCAGTCATGAAGAAGGATCCTCTTGTGGAGCCACTCAAAACCATCATCTTACCCTACATTGCAGGGGTCACTAAAAAGATCTCCAAAATCCTGAATAAACACAAGATCCAGGTCCGATTCAACACAGTACATAAAATCCGTGATTTAGTTCCATCTGTAAAAGATGCTGTTCCAGACACAGTACCTGGGCGTTTACAAACTAAAGTGCCTCTGTGGTAGTAGCTACATTGGAGAAACCAAACGACATATCTCGGACCGCATCCGCGAACATAAAGCAGACTTGAAACACGGTAGAATGAACTCCTCTGCCGAGGCAGATCACTGTTATAATTCAGTGGGCTCACATGACATTGACTTCTCCAAGACGGAGGTTCTTTGCAAACCAACCGGCTACCATGAGAGATTCGTTCATGAGGCCATTCACATATACAAGCACAGAGACAATTTCAACCGAGAAGATGGATTCTGGCTTAGTAACCATTGGAAAGATGTTTTAAACCATTTCTGTTCTTAATTGTATTTTACGATGGCCTTCAGACCGCAGCTCTTTCGCCAGCATTGAATCTTAATACCTCTCACACCACGGTTAATGGTATGGTTTACAACATGGAGTATAATAGCGCCTCGCAGCTGTCTCTCTCCCCCTCCTCTGTTCCGACCATGGATGAACTCGTCCGTCTGAACGGAGCCCGTGGCTATCCGTGTTGCTAAAGTTGAGGGTAAGAATCCACCCATTTTTTCGCCATATAGCATTGTGATATATAACGACTTATTGTTGGTAGCTTAGCTGATTGGAGAATATAGAGTTTACTGATAACATTAAGGTAATTTATATTTTAGTTTTTTATTGGTTCACTATATAGTACTGTGAATAGCTCAGATGTGTAGGCCTTGACTTCAACATAGCCATTTCTGTGACCAGTCACTAGCTAATCACTCAGTTATTTCAATGCTAAATTCGCCTAGTTATTTCAATGCTAAATTCTCCTGTTTGATTTGTACTAAGTGCCTCGGTGAATGTGTATGCTCTGACTTTAACATAGCTATTTCTGTGACCAGTTACAAGCTAACCACTCAGCTATTTCAATGCTAAATTCTATGCTAATTCCTTTGTCAAGGGGTGCCTCTGCAGATGTGTATGCTTTAACTTTTAACATAGCCATTTCTGTGACCAGTCACAAGCTAATCACTCAGCCATTTCAATGCTAAATTATATGCTAATTCCTTTGTCAATGCGCTTTGTTTCCTCTCACACAGCTTAAAGGTCGTGATCTGAACGTGGCTTTTTCACTCCAGCGCTGTCCTACCAGACAGTCTCGTCCCTTCACCTGATGAAGGCCGCTTGTGTTGTGGCCGAAACGTCGTGAGAATATTATTATTTTATCAATTTATTATTTTATTCTCATTCTACGTGACTTTACCGAAAGAACCAAAGAAGATGAATCATTGCAGTCACGAAAGCTTTAAATCGAAATTTAATCGTGAATGTTTTCATTCGTAGGTATTTCATAGCAATCTAGTCCAAACACTATAGTCTAGGGCAAATGACATGTTGTAGGTTTTGTGGCAATTTAGGTTTTTGTAGCTGGTGGAAACAAAACGAGGTGATTATGGACAGATGTAGGATTTCCCGGTGGTTGTAGTCAGTGGTAAAATGGATGTCTTAAAAATATTTTACAAGTTGGCAAAAAAAGCAGAAAAACATGATAATTATACCTCATTATTTATTACTCAAAAGATACCAATCCTTTAAATGTATAAATGTGCAATAAATTATTATGGAATGTTGTATTTACAATCTGATATTACTTTTAGCTCTTTGGCATTAAAACATGCTTGTTTGCCTTCAATATGTACTGTGCTTCCATTTGCTGCACAAGGAGCAACGGTCAACAGTAATCATTACAATGTATAAACAGTAAAGGCAGGTGACAGCTTAACTGAAAGCAACAGTCCCAGTTGCTACATTGACATTTTGTAACAAATGACAAAAACAAACTCAACAAAGTAAAAACATGTTAAGGAGGAACGAATCAGTGTTTTGGTCAATAGAAGTTACTTGCCTGAACTCGTTACCTATTCTGAAGGATATACTTGGCCCATTATATACTATTCTGCATTGTTTTATTTTCAGAAAAATGATAGTCGTTGCCAAAAAGAAAAACAATGCACAACTAGGGTCTATAAAATCCACACCTTCATATTTAAACTTTAATAAACAGAATGTGGTATAAAAATAAACAGCTTTAAACACCCTTGCTCAACTCTGAAGCACTGCAGTTTTGAAATATGAAACAAACATTTGGGTTTTATTAATATAGTTATTTTGCTAAATTTTTTATGTTTTTTACAAAAGAAATGTACATTTGTAACATGTAATTAGCTTTGCAAACAATTTTAACTAAAACCGTAATGTACACTGTCAGCTACACAAATATGCTACAAAGGCAACTGACGTTCTGGTGTTCAAGGTACACTTTTTTACAAATGCACCTACATGTGTTTAGAAAATACACACAGCTAACACCCACTTCCACTACAAAATGCTTTCCCCAACAGAAGCATCTCCACGTAGTTGTAAAAATGAACAAAAAGGCACAACATTGAATAGACGGCTCATGTCGGTGAGAAATTAATTCTACAAATACGTCTTTCTGCAGTGTTTAAAGCTGGTCGGCAGATGTTTTCGTATACACCAATTGGAGTAAAACTACCTTACCATTATTTTTCAACTAATGCCAATATGTAAAAATGTGAACTAGAAGCTCTGCATTGTGGAAACTTTAAACCAAATGTAAGAAGGCAATATGAGAAATTCTGAACTGGTAGCAGACAGTGCAAAATAAGTGTCCCAGTCATCTGCAACAATTTGGGAATCAACGGGTGCCCCCTTATTCCCCTGTTCCTGCTGAACTCGTTGCTTTGCCTCCCCAGCAGCGAACTGCGGCCTGGCAGGGATTTGCTGAATGGTGCTTCACTTCACCCATTTGCGTGAGCACAAGTGTGTCACAACGGTTCTCACAGTGTGCAAAAGGCCTCGTTCAGTCATTGTGTTGTTGAAAGCAATCACTGGATCTCCGTGTCGTTGAAAGTGGCAGTTCTTTCTGGTGTCGATGTTGATGCCAGCTCCTCCAGTGTTACCGCCATCTCTGGCGTCGACGCCGGCTCCGGTGTGGACGCCGGCTCCGGTGTGGACGCCGGCTCTGGTGTCGACGCCGGCTCCGGTGTCGACGCCAGCTCCGGTGATGCGCACAACAGTAATGAAGCTTCCATCGCTGGTGCAGCTGCCTCTTCTCCCAGCTCCTGCTCGAGCTCCTGTTCTTCTTGCTGCTCGCTGGCAGCGTTGGCTGGCGTCGTATCGCCGCCCACCTTCGGCTGCTGCTGCGAGGTCGGGTCGCCTGCTCGCCGCTTGCCCAGCGACTCGAACCAGCTCGCACTGCCGTGCGCAGCCCGTGTGAGCAGCGCCGTAGCCGAGTGGAAGCCGCGCATGTTTTTGCCAGACGTGATGAGCTCGCCGAAGCCCTCCTGGTGCGCAAACGCATAGCCCGAGCGGCGCGAGCCTGTGCGGTGCACGCGGTGCAGCCTCAGCGTCTGCGGCTTCTGCTTGCGTCGCTGTCGCTGCATGTAGCGCTCCTGCGTCGGTAAGAGAATGGAATTGGCAGGTGCATTCGTTCAAGAAAGTAATCCTTTTGTCACTTGGTTTATTGAGCACTTATTGACATGTCTTTGTTTTTAGTGCCTTCAGATACAATTGCAAATACATTGATTTTTTTTTACGGTTGCATGGATAAAACGTATAAATTCTAATTGAATTGCAATTGTATGTTTTAAATAACCTATTGCTATTAATGTAAAATACCTCTCGGTGTCAGTAAAAAAATACATTTTAATTAACCTGTTACTCAACATATGCTGTTGTATGTTTAGTAAAACTTTGGCCCAAGGTCATCCTGAACTGTAGTGAAATTTTAGCCACAACCCAACGGAGGACATCAATGGCTCCCAATAAAAGATTGGCATGGGCTTTGCTGTGTCCCTCAAACAGACACAAAATAAATTAATAGCCCCAATACACTGCTGGCATACTAAGCACTAAGACAAGTCCGACTTAAGAGAGGCTCAGGACTGATTCTGATATAACTGGCCAAGGTTAGCCATGGCCAAGAATCAAAATCACGTCAGAGTTCAAAGCAGTGCGCTAACCACTGCACCGCTGCTCAAAGTCAAGTTTTATTTTTAATGAATCAGTGGCGCCTTTCTGGTTTTGACCTGCCATCCAAGGCGCCAATGCTCCCCACATTTTAACAAGACGCCTAAACTACAGGGCTCCCCTGCTATAAGTTGCCATATGCGTTGTTTTAAATAACCTATTGCTATTAATGTAAAATACCCCTCAGTGGGAGTAAAAAATACATTTTAATTAACCTGTTGTTACTCAACACATGCTGTTGTATGTTTGGTAAAACTTTGGCCCAAGGTCATCCTGAACTGTAGTTAAATTTTTGCCACAACCCAACGGACATTAATTGCTCCCAATCAACTACAGGGCTCTCCTGCTATAAACTACAGGGCTCCCCTGCTATAAGTTCCCATATTATGCGTTGTTTCGCACATACGTTGCTGATTATTTAAGGGAACACATTTTCTTCTAAGTTTAATATTTCGCGTTCTTTTAAAAAAATGCGCAATAAATGTTGGCACAATTCTTTAACTAGGAATGCACGTGGTGAAAATGTACTCCTGTGATGTTAAAAAGTACATTAAGTTTACAAAAATGCATATATGTTAATGACATTTAGTCACCTTTATTTTCTATAAATATAAGCAAAAATATTTTAGCATTATGTTTATGGGTAATTGGAGTTTGCTTGAAGTAGAATTTGCCAGGAATGCATCCCTTTCTGTATAGCAACGGGGGGGTTCCAGTATCCCAAACCAATCCAAACTTAGAGCTCTGCGTCCCGTATGTGCGCGTGAGATGGACTCGTCACCTTGTCGCTGAGCGTGGGCCGCAAGTCGGTCTTCAAGAAGCGGAATGCGGCGATAGGCATGATGCATACAATGGTGGTCAGCGCGATCACCAGCCACACAGACGGCTGGTTGAGCGTGTTCCGTGCTGTGCCTGCAGTGACAACGCACACTCAACACATCAGTCATTGTTTCTAGCTTTCTTGGGCATGGGACGCCTACAAGAACATGCATTGGCAAGAAAATATTACAATAATTACATCCTGGAGTTTGCTGGTACAGCCCCTAAGTGACATTTTAGTGCTGGTGCAATGGAGGTTAATGCAAGTTAATTTGTATGAATGTACCACACTTTGAATTTCAGGTCATGTAGATACTTGTGTCTTTGGGACCCCAAGTTAACTGCTTGGCTGCTCCTTATCTCAGAGCCACTAAACTGCACTTAACACTTGTTAAAACTAAACATGGGAAATGCAGCTGCCTCCTCCATTAGTGGCGAGTTACAGAGACGTCCAATTGTAATGGCGGTGATGTGCAATCCATCGATGACTTCGTCGATCATCGCATACCCTTTTGCAGGAGTTACAAATTAAATCTATCTGGCAACCCTAGATGCCATTGAATGGCTTCTCCAAACCCAACATAGTTTACAAAAAATGTCTGTTGTCTTTTAAATGCCATGTGAGAGAATCACCCCAAATTTAAACAATGCCAATTATTTTAGCTGTGCTGGCAAAAGTGTTACGTTTAAACAGAAATGTTGTTTGCACTGCTTGATCTATACATTGACGAATACTTGTTTTCAGAGATCAGACGCTTTAACTAGATTTCCTCAGCCTGCAATAGGCCACTTACGCACCCTTCTTAGTGCCGCCCCACTGTAAAGTGAATATCAAGTTAAGGGTCAGCACTCACCCACCTTAATAAAAAGATAAAGACAATATACTCAATCTTGATGCACCGCAAAGAACAAATATTCCCAAGAAATAATGACGGTCCCCAGCGTCCCTGATGCCACCACCACCACCACCGTTATAATTAGGATGGCGTCTGCATCATCACCGCACCTATGAAGCGAAACTGGGACGGGAAGATGCTGTAGAGGCCGGCGCTGTACATGGCGAACATGATCGCAAAGTATACGGCCACGCTGCCCCAGATGAAAAAGTGGTTGATGGCCGTCCAGTAGGCTGTGTCCAGACCCATCTGGAATAAAAATGCATACACAGTGCATGGCTAAGAATCAAACCCTTTCCCCAGGATGGATAATCACTTTCCTGGACAGTTAATATAAAGGGGTGTCCTGGAATAACTTGCTAACTCATATTTAGTTAAGATAACCCTTGGCAGCTTAATTGGAACTTTTAAAATCCACTTTGGACCATTTTTATTGTATCTCTCAACAGATGCTTGTGCAATTACTATTTTAATTCACTTAATCTGCCTATTTTCAACAAAAGCCTCCTTTTAGGGAATATCAGAATGTGTAGGTTATACAGTCTTTTTTCTTGACAATGACACCCTTTTCCCACCCGCAAAAGTTCAGAATTCATTATATAATCTGACAGGTGTATGAGATTTAAATACCTTTATTGATACTTGGCACACGTTTGTGGCACCAAAGCAAATGTCAACAAGATGCAACAAAAATGGTTCAAACCAGACAGTGGACTTGCAAACACTCTCCAGATGCCCCGTGTTCCCAAGGCCCTCGCAGTTACCCAGAAAGGAAGGGGGCAGGGGAAAAAGAAGCACAGCTGTGGAGTCGTCGGGTCACCTGCAGGCTGACGACGATGATGAGCGACGTGGAGACAGCCACAGCCAGGGACTGGTGGTCGGACAGTCCTGTTCCGTCATCGCGCACCGCCTCCACAAAGGCAGCGTACGGCACAAAGAAAAGCACCACTGACGTGTAGATGCCCTGCCCGATGCAGATGAAGAATTCGCGCTTGTTGAACAGCAGGTTGAGCTGCCCCGGCTCGTAGAGCTTTGGGCAATCGATGCTCCATTGGTCGTTGATGTCCTGCGAGCGAAAGAATGGGATTTCATCGTGGGAGCTTTGTTCTGGGTAGCAACCATTATATCCTAGGTTCAAATCCATGGTAGGCTCTCATATATGGCCAGTTGGTAATCTCAAATCTGGTGATGAGTGGATTCTTAAAAAAAAAGCTCCTATGATAAAAATTTTGGTTTTGAATTAATAGCCCAGCTTAGCTATCTCGACAGGTTCAGAATTTAGGTAAAGAGGCAACCAATCATCAGTGCAACGAATATAAGTAGAGTCTACAGTTTTGTGTAGGATAAAACCATGAATGCATTGAGATCATTTCAATGTGCTCTTTTATAACAAGCAGACTCTGACATGAAATACTCATTGCTCTGTGCTAAGATGTCTAAAGCACATTTGGGATATAACGGCGGCGTGGAGGAAGAAAAAAAAAACATCCACGCAAACTCAACATAATAATGGCCTGCAGTGTTGTTGAAGCTGTTCCTAATTCCGTGCTGGTTTGATTAAGTGTTACAGTTCCTCTAGCATGTTGGCCTCTTTCATTATCTCTACGGCAATACTACTGCTTCATCATCTTTCTGTCTTGACGACAGCACATCTGTTGATGCAGGAATAAAGTACTGGTATTAAATGTTATTTTCACTATACATATTTTTTCCCATTAAACATCTCTCAAAAAATTCAAGAGAGTTAAGGACTTGATTTGCCAAACCTTACTTGATTATGTACATGGAATAATATCGCACTCAAACGGGCAGTGCTGGCAAGCGCAGGTTAAGTGTGAACCAAGAGGGCTGTCTCTCTGGTGGAGACCAATCAGTTGCAATTACAATGCCATATATGACCAGGGCATGTTTTTGGTTGCTTGTTCACCACAAGTATGTGTGGTTAATGCAGACATGATTCCTTGCAAAAGTTTGTTTGGTGTTTTAACATCTTTACACCTGTTAATTTGCCAGAAAGGGTAAAACCTATTCCTATACAGTAAAACCTTGGATTGCGAGCATAATTCGTTCCGGAAACGTGTTTGTAATCCAAAGCACTCGTATATCAAAGCACTCGTATATCAGTTGTGATCACGTGACGCTCGGCAGGCAAAGCGTATACGTACTGCTCATATTGCAAGACCTCGCTCGTTTATCAAATTAATATTTATTTTAAAATTTTGCTCATCTTGCAAAACACTCGCAGACCAAGTTACTCGCAATCAAAGGTTTTACTGTACTTTGATACTGGCAAGAAAGGTCCCATGTTGGCGAGAAACAAGCTCTACATTCACACAACTTGATGAGAGGGAGTACAGCTAGCCTCACTGTGGCTACGGTGCATCCGACACGTGCTTACCTGATCGAACACCCCCATCGCCAATACCGGCAAGGATGTGTAAACAATGTTGAAAAGCGTAATGAACCACTGGTCATACACCGTCTGAAAAGATAGAACGACATAAGATGGGGGGGGGGGGACGTTCAGCATTATTGAACAAAATAAAATGGAGGTAAGGCAGGAAAAGAAAAAAACATTGCTTGGATGCCAGATTGGAAATTGGAGAGTAAATAATAGAAGCACCATAAAAGGAAGGGAGACGCATCAACATTAAAAGGGGAAGAGTTTTCCGGAAATGAGGGATTATAATAACGATTGTAAAATAGAAAAGTATTAAGGTCGTGTTAGGGCAAGATGAGAAAGCAGATGGAAGGAAGGGATTGAAAGTGAAAACAGCTGTGTTAACTTCTTGCAAATGTGTTTATTTGCCAGTTCTTACGGCGCTTAAAGCACACCCTTGTGGAAATTCCAAAACAGTCTCAAGGCCAACACATACCTAAAAACACAGCATTCCACTCGCATGCAATATCGTGCATGTTTCTCTACAAACAATGAAATCACAGCTTACCTGGGAATGCTTTATGTATCTCAAGAATGCAGGTTTCAATCATGTGTTTATGGATACTTTTAAATAGGTTTTTAAATACATTGGTCCCAAACGGTTTGAATTTTTAGGATAAGAATCAATCTTATGTTTATAAATTAATCAATTCTCGTAATGTGCATTTATTGCGTGAAGAAACATGGCTAAAGGCTTTAAACCTCACCACTTATATTATAACGCGCTAGGTTAACCGTAGGCAAGACAAATCATTCAAGTTTAACAGGCGATTTAATTATTTTATTCAATCGCGTCTTCTCACTTTTATGTTTCCTTTGGGTGGAATGTGTTTCCGTTCGAGTGAAATTTCTGCCTGACAACCGAATACCACTTTGGGTATGCAGATAAAATAACTGCAGTGCAACGCAGCACACTTTGGCTATTAATGAGTACCAATTTAGTATTGCTATTTGGCCTGTGGGGTTTATTCTGCCTGGTACACTTGTTCGATTCGCTTTCCCATTTCCTTAAAGCACTAAGCTGTATGCATAATTGGGGTTGGGATGCAGGAAAATGCATTCCGAATGCATGACCCTCCTGAAATAATGAGTTTCGATTCTACGTGGCTTTCCTGGATCAATAAGTTATTATTAAATGCACCTGTGTAGGCAAGCCAGCGACCCGTGATGCTTTCTCACCTGGGCGGAGAAGCCGCAGAAGAATCCAAACCAGAAGTGAACGAGCGTGAAGGCGAAGTTCTTGTAGAAGAAGTAGCACAGGAACTTGCACATGCGCAGGTAGGACCAGCGGCCGTGCACGAGCAGCAGGCGCTGCAGGAAGCGGAACTGAGCGAAGGAGTAGTCGCTGGACAGGACGGCCTGCATGCCCTCCTGCCCGCTGATGCCCACGCCGATGTGAGCCGCTGCAATGACAACACGGGGTGGGGGGGGGGGCACAGCACGGTGAGTTATCGCCGGCGGCTGGTTCGCTCCACGGGACCTTACTACATGGTCAGCGAGGGTCACTAACCAGGGCAACCAGCCAAGTGCTGTGGGACACGGATAATACCCACCGCTCCGACAATTGTAATCCGATCTTATTTTCACTCACGATACAATTATGACTCGGTCTCCCATCATTCAAACCAATCCACTGTTTGGCCACAAATCTGGTATTTTCCGATTCTGAACTAAAGTAACATTATGCCCCTACTCACAAGCATGCATTGTAACACAGGAGGAATCACATATTTGCCAAAGGCCACATGCTGACATGCCCATAACTCTTGACTTGTTGCACAACATATTTTGCCGTTAAGCGCAGAGCTACCCGGCCCTCTCATACATTCTCCTCTGTCAGCCCACGAGCTCGCCTACCTATCCGCTCGCTCACCCGCCCACCTACCCGCTCGTTCACCTGCCCACCTACCTACCCGCTCGTTCACCCGCCCACCTACCTACCCGCTCGTTCACCCGCCGACCTACCCGCTGGCTCACCTGCCCATCTACCTACTCGCTCGCTCACCTGCCTATCTACCTACCCGCTCGCTCACCCGCCCACCTATCCGCTCGCTCACCCGCCTACCTACACGCTCGCTCACCCGCCTACCTACCCGCTCGCTCACCCGCCCACCTGCTTGCCCGCGCACACTCGATCGCTGGCTCGCCGGCGGCACACTCACTCTTGATCATGCTGACATCGTTGGCTCCGTCCCCGATGGCGAGCGTCACGGCCTTGCGGTACGTCTTCACCAGCTCCACCACCTGTGCTTTTTGAAGCGGCGTCACGCGGCAGCAGATCACCGCCTTGCACATGCAGGCCACCTCCAGGAACTCCATCTCCATGTCGGCCTCCAGGGCGTGCGCCTGCGGTGGAAGCCACGCACCCCCACGCACGTGCCACGGGCAAATCGTAACGCGGGAGAAGTCTGGAGTGCACTTACCACTACACCAACCATCAATGCATGGTGTCCACAGAGCACATGGCACACGTTTGTGACAGGAAAATTAAGAATAGCCCACAGTGCGGACTGCTAGCACCATTCTCAATACCGTGGAGCACATGGTAACACCACTGCCCTCTTACATCATTCACCGGCAGCGTTTCAGATATTCAACAGGCTAATCCTGAAGCTACCCAATGGCTCGCTCACCAACCTCGGCATGGACATATAAACGTTTCTGTTCAACTCCTTGCCATACGAACACCACCCAGCATGCACACCCATCCGTACCAGGCTGTGCCCATTGATGATGATGGCGTACTCCCCCTCCACAGTTGTCTCGATGGATGGGCAGGCCTTGGAAGGATCCTTCACCGACGAATAGAGGAAGCCATTTGCAGCCGAGCCCTTGCTCAGTCCAAGCATCTTGGCCTTGGCGCGTCTGTCGCAGACAACGCAGGAAGACGCGGGCAATGCACGCGACTCATCCTCAACACCAATGCTCAATAGCTCGGCCACCTGCATGTTGTCCAAAAGGGGCCGTGGACATTTGAATGCATCCACTTTACAATTATTGAACGGATTTATCAAAAACAACATTTTATCTCAAGATGTTGGACAACAGTGGGCAGATGTATGGAAGCTCACGAGGAAAACCGAGGAGGTAATTTCAAGTATTATACATGTCACAAAAACATGGGAAGCCTGTGAATGGTGATTATGCATACGTAGCTGTAGTAAAATATCCGAAATAGACGATATTAAGAATACCATTAGCAATGGCATTTCACAAAATTGCAGGTCGGGGTTGGCATTTAAAATGATGGCCCTAAATTAAATGCAGCACTCTGATTCCAGCGTTTGCCTTAATTGAACGATGCCCCTCATCCTCCCCTCCAGAATCAATAAAATGAGTCCCCTTTTATGAAAGGTCAATGTTACTGGTAGGAAACGTAGTGGACTGGAAGCCCAACCGGGATTAATTCACAGGAGGCAGGGGATTAATTGTGTATGTCTGTGGATGTCTGTCCACGTGTATCCGGACACCCGGATAAAATGGGAGGGGTGGGGCTGGGTGGAGAGGGGAGGGTGGGGAGGGGCTGGTTCATGTTCTGCAGATGTAGATGCCACCACCGCCATCTATTGCGCGGTGGTTGAACTTACGACTCTCGGTCCGAACAGGCAACTGGACATACGGACAGGTTTGTTCGCATCTCTGAAAGTTCCTAAGTCAAATGCTCGCAAGTAGAGGAGTCCCTGTACAGTGGAAGTGGATGAGCATTGCAGGGTGAATGAAGCCCATTATGATAGAGGCAGAAGACATGTGCTCACCCCAGCTCCTCGCGGACCTCCTGGACCGTGTGCCCCGACACCACAAACACCTCGTTCATGTCGTCTGTTAGCATGTTGCACGAGTAGCCGATATTCACCGCCGTTTCTGCAGCAACACAAGTGCCAACAGCTCACATGGTTATTTCCAAATACTTTCCCACCTCTAGGAGACAAAAATAAATGGTTATGTCTGTAGTCGTCACCGTGAATGTGGTACATGTACGTGCAATAACGTATCAACTGCAGATGAACCGTGTGTTCAATGCATGAGCGAATATTTTCCATGCATATTTGGGTACGATCTGTAGGTCACATGTTATGGGGAAAAGTGTCGGAACTTCCATCTCTTCCATGAAGTCTGCCCAGAGTGGAAGAGATAAATACTCCGTGGAGGGGCTCGACAGATCTCTCTCCACCGGAAGCCCTCTGCCGGCAGTGGCGTAAGCAAGACATTGCAGGGATGCACCTTTTTCTTTGTGTATGTACAACTGCATATATACAAGCAATTTGCTGTTAGTGGAAGAGTCCAACCACATACACAAAGGCACCACAATTTACGGAATAGTTTTGTCAGACACAGCAGTCTACGCGTGTGCGTCAAGACAAATGAGGGCCTGATTAGGCAACCCCCGGCTGGCGTCTGCAAGAGTGATTAAACGCCCTTCCCATATCGCCTGATGGAAATGAACAATGATTGCCTAATAAATTGAGCAGAATGTGCCTCATGGAAAGAACCTTTGCACTTGGTCAATTCCATTCGGATTATGAATTTGGCCATGGGTATGTTTAGCACACATTTATTGGATGAATAAAGCAAAGCACTGTAAGCAAACTCGACATCAGAATTAAGTGAACATTTTTGCGCACAATGCTTATAAGACTTGAACGGTAGAAAGCCGCACGTGTGGCTGCTGTTAACAATTATGCGTACGCAGTGTGCACACGCCGCACCTTTCAAAATGTGTGTACAAGTTCCGTCATGTGCCTGCCATGTATGTGTCCGGCTGACACTCTGGACACCCTTACGAATGGAGACGTTCCACCTCGGGCGGAATTTCCAGGTGAAGTAGTTTAAAATGTTAAATGAAAACCTTGTTTGTCGCCCGTAAGAACCCAGATCTTGATGTTAGCCAGGGCCAGCTTCGCAATGGTCTCCGGCACACCCTCCTGCAGCTTGTCCTCTATCGCGGTGGCTCCCAGCAACTGTCCGCATTCAGAACACAGACACGCACCCACCGGCACCCAGACGCACGGCCAGGTTAAACACGACAGCGGGCGTCATTTGCCGCGAGGCCACGGCGATGTCACCGCGGCGCTTGTACCAGGCGAGGTGAACTTTGAGGTCAAGTACAGTGTTGGAACGCTCGCTGGTGGGGAGGTTGCGGGACAGACCCAGATGTTATGGGTTAACCAAGATGACTGGCTGAAACCAAAATAATCCAACCACCTCGCGGTAACATTGCGGAGCGTGGCTCACGTCCACCACAGTGGTGAACAGGAGCTTTGGTCTGGTGTGGGGGGGGGGCTGTGAACTACTCCACCTTAAAATACTATTAGCAAAGTACCACATGAAAAAGGCCATTGTATTTTATGCACATAAACAGATGCACGCAAGCTAATGGTTTTAGAGAGTCGTGGCACGTGCTGTCAGTAGCTATTAATGACATAAATGTAACTATCAGGGGTCGGTAAACATGGCCATCATCACCACAGTCACCTTTAAATTATCAGTGTCAATGTTGCTACAATGTCTCCACCCGTACTACTTACTCATTGCAGGTTGATGTGATTTCCCAGGTCGGGTATTATCAATTGCTATTAGCTTTGTACTCAGCCAGAAAGCCAATCCGAGTTGCTGGAACTACAGCACCTTACATTTATCACCACACACAGGCACCAGGGTTAGACGTAAACAAAATGCGCACGGAGGGGCAGATTATGGACAAGGGGTAAAAATAAACTGTGTACCATGCCCCTTTAAAAACCTCGTGGGCCCCCCCCCTTGTCTACTCATTCCCTCAACTTTATCAATGCCACATACCGAGAAAACATAACAATCGCACATTTGCTTGGAAACAAAATGTTTGTATCCAGAGGTAAAGTTTACGATATGTTAGCAAAAGACAAACAAACTGGCATCTTCAGCTCTACAAGACTACAACCACCGCCGCAACCCTCACAACAACCAATCATCACCACCGTTACTAAAACGCAACCCCTGACAACAACCAATCATCACCACCGTTACAAACACGACCAGCACAATCTGCCACTATCACTACGACCATGACAACCACTGCCATTTTCTATACTATAACCACTACTACCAAAAACAACATCCACCAGCAATAGGCAATGAAGTTGACCAGGAACACCGAGTACAGTCCTGTGAGGCTTGCTCAATAATAGCCCACTCTCATCTGGTTATAGCGCCATCGTTCACTTGGTTACAAACGATATACCATCCAGTCTGAATGCATTAAACAGAGGCTGATGGGCTGACCATGAAATACGCTTAACGTGAACCCAATTGCTGCTACGACAGAATGTGTCGTGCTGGGTAGTGCCAGACTCGCGTGGAAGTTTAGATTGTGTGTTGGTTACATAAAAGACCCTGGTGAAATTTTGTTCTTCCTCACCCAAGAGCAGCATAAATTTACGTGGAGGATTTATTTTCGAAGGCCTTAGATGTAATCAACAAAAACTCCAAACAGTACACGTGGAGATCTTGGAAGATAAATGCACTTCGCCATCAGGTGACAATTCAAATATGTATTCGACGCATTTGTTAATTCAGCATACACTTAGGAAGACAAATTATTTGAGGTCCTTGCTGCAAATTGAATAAACTTCCAAAGTGAAAATGTTGGATGATGATCAGCATAATACACTTCTCCATCCGGTCACATTTATTGATATTATCTGTATTTATTAATTTTGGGTGGATTGTTTGTGCGAGAATACACATCAGCTTGTTGTGTAAAAAACAATTAGAAGACATTAGGACAAATGGCTTGCGTTCATTTGTGCGATTTATGGTCGGATATAATAATACGGCAGTGCTTCCTTCTGAACTAATAGTCTAACCTGTCTGATAATTTTGCCAATGTTAAATCAATTGCAACCAACCCATGCAGGTGTAAATGCAGGATTAAAATGTGCGTTTTTGCCAGTGAGCACAGAACAGCTGATTCAAACTCATCTGAGGCGCATTTTTTTAAAGTTGAACACGCTCGGCGTCACCCAACTCATGCAGTCAATGTCAGAAACTCCTGCCAAGTTAGAATGCATTAAAACACCAGTGCCATGAGACAATATACTGCGGCAAGATAAGAGGAACAGGCCCTTGGAAAAATCTGGGGAATTTCCACTGCAAGTTATAAATTCTGCAGTGTCACTATACTTACGTTTCTGATTCAATCAATTCACTCTAGGAAAACATAAAAACAGCTAATGTATCATATTTGCTCTACTCTAAACAAAAGATAAATGAGCAGTCAAAAAAACAAATTTCTACTTATTGTTATTGTCCTTGCCGAATGGGTAAAACACGCGATAATAAAGCGGCAGTGACCACGGGAAAATAAACTTAAACTCTACAGATTCTCCCGTCAGACATATCCGGCTTCCCTGTAAGAGACACTGTACTATTCAACATTGGCTCTGGCTGGATACCTAATGATAATGGTTGGCAATAGCCAATGTGATATTAATGGCTATGTCCTACCAGTTTGGCTGATCAGTGCAATATAATCCCACTGGTCAATCACCCCATAAACACAACTCTTAATTACTTAAGCTGTATGACGAATGGGTATGGCTTGTACATGGCCGTGGACACAATGGGGAGGCATTATTCAGAATGTTTGGCTTATGTGTATAATTTCAGATAAAGCCACAATGACCATGGAAGAAAACGCTTTTTTTAATGGTACGGGTACCAAGAATATGAATGCCAGAAATTAGCTCTGGGTCACACCAATCTCTGTTGTTGGTTATGAACCAGAGGTGGCAACTGAATGTTTCTGTGAAAGAGATGTTATATTTTAAACATAACTACCATTGACTGTTCACTACAAATTACTGTAGTGTTCATTTTACTGATGTTGAATTAACGAACTATAGGCTAAATGGACTCAAACCAGGACTTTCATGCAAAACCCCTGAAAACCGTGAGATCAATGGTCTACCCAACACGGTTCTCTTACATCACAAAACACAAACGCAAGATAAAGAGGGCTTTATTTCAAGTGACAGTGACGCCACCGGCCAGCGGTGGATCGGCAAAGGGCTGCAAAATGACACGCTTTGTATACGATTGTAACCGGTGGCATTGTAATTTCCCCTTAGTTTAAAACTTAAAAGGCCTTTGCACCGAGGTGAGAATCTCACCCATCGATGTCCCCTCCCCAACTCACCCCCCCCCACCCCCAGTGTAAAGGGCACGGTGCGAGGAAGCGGCCGGTGCCACACACTGCGCACCATCATGTTTTGCTCGATCTCGTCGTAGACGGCGGCGAGCAGCTCCTCGCGGCCCTGCAAGGACGTGTTTGCCTCGTGGTGCCGCTCCTGCCACTCCTCGAAGGAGGCCTCGTCCAGGTCGCGGTACGCCAGGCACAGCGTGCGCAGGCCCTCGCCCGCAAACGCCTGCGGGGAGCGCGGCACGGGGAGACGGGACGTTAAACGCGGAAAACGGAACGGGTAAACGGTTCGGTCCTCCTCTGTCTATCGTGCGCTCTGGCCTCCCGTGCGCCCCCCGAGTACACGAGGGGAAAGGCCGTGACACTTTATTGCATTTCGTATATTAAAAAGGGACCCTGCGAATAATTTGTTTTATAAATAAAAATACCTCAGCAGATCGGTCAATGTGTGTGTGTGTGTGTGTCAGCAGTCGTTACCACATGCTGTCAGAAGTTATAAGGGGAGCTGAGAGCATTACGTAGGGGAGCTCAGCCCCCACTACATCGTCAACCCCGTCACAAGCATAACTCTGGGACTGCCAAATAGAGATCAGCATTGGATTGCACAGGGAGGTCTTTAGGCCGCATGTTTAACAACTAGAACAGATATGAAGCCCATTTAATGTACACTGGTGATCACGGAGGCGATGTGCGGCGACACTGGGGCATTGTAGGGGGGATCGTAAACCACGCAGAGGAGGCTTTAAGCTTTCGTAACGATTGCTCAACTCAATGTGTAAGGCTCGTTCCATCCGAGCTCAGTGCACGAGTTAAGAGTTAATGAGACGCAAAAATCTCTTGGTGAAACACCCCTGAAGAACCGAGATGGCAATGACCGCTGCGGGGACGAGCGGCAGCAAGGCGTTGCGCTGCAGGGGAATAACGCTAAAAATAAAAGTGTTGAGCGTTGCACACATACAACAACGCTCAACGCAACAAGCAGGCTGCCTGGCTCGAAGCGAAGATGAAATTCAGTAGTTTGATAAACATAATTGAGGTTGCTGTACTCTCTGGCCACGTCAATTCATTCACAGTGACACCAAGATGTATCTGCACACAGACAGGTACACCGTTGTAATGATGCACATCACCGTCCTAATTTGTCTGCTTGCCAATGCGTCCCATTACATGTTCCTACATATTAAAGGTGTAAGAAGCTTGTAATTAAAGTGCACGCCCATGTCAGAGCAAAAAATAAAATTAACTTTTATGTTCTACTTTCTGACATGGGTTTATTTTTTCCCTCAGTTGTGGGGGTGCCTCTTATAATCAGGAGAATATGCTAAGCACCATCTCATATGAGTTGGGGCGACGGCAAGGATTGGGCCAAGTGCAAACATTACACGAGAGGAAGGCATCAAACGTAACACAGAGCGAGGTGAGCAAGGGTAACGGGTCCTCCCAGAAAACAACATGGGCACACACATATTCCACGAATGCACACTCATAAGATGCGAAGCAGTCCCTGAGATTCAACTGCTTTAAGTTGATAGCAAAACATGACTGGATGATGATGACGAGCAAAGAAGTGGGGGGAGGCGTGGGTTACGCCACAGAGGGTAGCCTGGGACGGAGGTAAAGGGAAGCCCCCTCAACGTGGCCGCCTCACGCTGCAGAGACGTCGCCCCACGTGATAGGAGGTGACGTAGGGGGCGCGATTTGGTCCTGTAACTGATGGCTCGGGTGTGGAGGACCTGCCGCCTTCAGGCCAGGGAGCGGCGGCCGGGAGGGCAACCGAATGGAAGATATAACAGCAACTGGATTGGCTCCTTAGTGTCGGAAAGAGGAGAGTAACAGACGGAATCCTAACACGGGCACACGCTTTTGTGCCGTAAATAACACGAGTGGCCAGTAGGGGGGGTAAGACCCCTTAGCAGTGGTGTGAGACCTGTGGGAGAGTGGGGGGAGGGAGACGGGAGAGGAAAGGAGGCGGGGGTTTGGAGGAGGAGTAGGAGATTAGTGTTTTAGGATTAAAAGTAATACAACCGGCTATGAAATGTAGACAGTGCACTGCGTGTATTTTTGTTTTCAATACCAATGTTAAAGCCTTTAACAAATATAAATTGCCTGCAATTCTGATACTTTGGGTTTTGACTCCCTCTACTGCAAATATTTTTGCTTGATGCATTTATTTGGATTCACATATAATTCTACATAACACAACTGCATAGGTTTTCGCAACTTAAAGATCTATATCCAAGTTTGACAGCAACGTGTAATGGCTCGAGGTGAGGCAGAATGAGCTGCTGCTACTGCTGCTTTCCGTTGAAATCCCGAAGTTGGTAGTGATTCACAATGTGCCCTACGGTTTGGTCAAATGCATTGATGGTTGGGAGATAGTATTTTGTTATGATTTAATTATGCCGATGCAATTCAAGGTAAGACAAATAAACATGTTAACAGTTTTAAGACAACAAATCCACTGGTGACATTTCCCTGAAAAATGATAACAGTTCAGCTAGTAGCAGTGCATCTTGTGGAACCTCCATTAAAATAACACGTTGGCATAGGTAACTTGCTGCATGTAACATGCCAAGAGGAAGTCGGCAACAAAAATCCTGGATACACTTAAACGGAATTTTATTTGCAAGGTCTCATAGTAATTGGTTGCCATTTATTTTAATTTGCATTTCGAGAAAATATGAAACAAACCGTGGCATTTATTTAAGAGGTAAGGGTCATCCACATTGGGAAATTGCCAAAAAGCCCTCTGTGACAGACTCACTTTCCTAACCATGACATATATGAGGAAGGGAGGGGGGCACACATAATGGTAGTGGTCACATGGCAGTATGGTCATGTGGCGGTCACTAAATAGTGCTGCATTCATGTGGGCACTAGCAATTATAATTTTATATATTTATAATAAAATAACACATTCAAATAAAAGCCCTGTTAACAGTTTTTCTGGACTGGTTTGAACTTTTGAGTTGTGCTCATGAGACCCAGAAGGTCGAATCTGGTGCAGAGTTTTATTTGCAAAGGAAAATGTTGCTCGATACAATATTGGACCGGAGAGCCAACAGGGATGGACCAATAACACATCCGTATTTCTAGATGTTTCCACACAGCCCCAGTGTCCTTGCTTGACTATGGCCATAGGGCCATCTGGGTGCAGACGTGGTGAGAAACTCACACTCAGGTGGTCTGCGGTGATGTTCACGAGCTGCTGGTTGCAGGGGTGAAGCCTCTCAAATATCACAGAGTCGGCGCCTTTGCAGTACAGCTTCAGCCGACCTTCAGCATTCCGCACTACCAACAAAAACACGCACACACACACACGTTCGGTCCTGTGATAAAACGTCCGCTAAAAATAATGTGATATTGCGTTGGCGCTGGCGCACAAGTAACAAAAACTCACATTCGTCAATGACGCTGCCCTCAGACAGAAAACAAACGTACGTTAGTACACAATGGCCTGTCTTCATGAGACATATTTTTTATACATTTTTCTTCCAATTTAGGGCACTTGGTTTTTTTTGTGCAGCATTTCAGCAAAGCTATATCATGGGACCTTTTTGCCAGTATCAAAGTAACTCTGAGAAGATATGCATCGTCTTTGAAACCGATTGGCCTACACCAGAGGAATAAAGTCTCCAGCGGAATCAAGACAATGCATATATTATCAGAGCATGTTTGTTTGCATGTTCACCACAAGTACGTGTGGTTAATGCAGACTTTTGTTCCTTGCAAAAGGTTTCTATTTGATGTTTGAACATCTTAACACCGGTTTTATTGCCAGAAAGGGTAAAACCTATTCTTTTTTTCCATACTTTGATATGAAAAGAGAACTGTTTTTTTCCCCAAACCATAACACCGCATTATTTAGCAAAATAACTACAAACGTCTCCGCAGGAGTGGGGGGCGAGCACTCACTGAAAAATCCAAACGTTTAGAAAGAATCCAAAGCAGAATTGTACAACCTCCCAAAATTCACTGCGCTCACAGCAACGGCCAACAGACGTGGGGGCGAGGGGGACAAGCGACTGACCGATGACGGACATGCGCTTGCGGAAGTTGTTGAAGTCAAGGATGGCGAGCAGCTGGTAGGTGCGCGGTTCTCCCAGCTCGTGCAGCGTGATAGTCTCGGGCGTGCGCGAGCGGAAAACGAAGTCAAAGTTGCGTGCGGCCGTCACCAAGGCGCCCTCATCGGGGGACTGGGCCTGGTAAGCCAGCTCCCCTGGGGTGCCGTGGGTGGTGGTGGACGCGGGGGGGGGGGGCGGGGGCGGAGGTAGGGGACAAGAAATTACGTGAAAACACACGGAGCAATTACGATGAGTCATGCGTGCCCCTGATGTAAGAGGACGACAGTGAACAAAGCTAAGATGTCGCTAAGACCAAATGAATGTCGGGCAAGGTCAAGTCTACTGAATGCCCTCAGCCAGCAGTGGAAATTCCACATTCCAATTAAAGCCAATCTGTTATACGGGTTCAGCAGAGGGTAGTGCAACTTAATATTCTGTTGTACTGTATTTCTACGATCCCATATCTATGCTCCCCACCTTCACAAATCCTTTCTGTGACTGACGAGGTAAAAAAAAAACCCTCGTGGCCTGCAGGCTGTGGGAAGGCCCTCACTCAGGAGTGTATTGACAAAATGGGCTGCAAAAGTGGCCATGTGGTGAGGCGAGGGATGCAGGGGAGCGGCGGGGGACGCAGGGATCTCCATGTACCCTCGGTCTTCTCCTCGGGCATCACGGTGTGGCAGAGTGCAAGCAAACGGAAGAACTCGTGCACTCCCCACTCGCCCAGGCGTATGGCCTCCAGCATGGTCTGATCGTAGAAGAAGAACCGCCGGTCGGCCAGCAGGTTCCTTGAGAAATCCACTGGCACCGACCTCTGCGATGAGAGCGTACGGGAGAGCAAGAGAGAGAGAGAGAGGAATGACACAACAAACACAAGCTGCATGAGCTTAGTAAACTTTGATTTTTATTTTAGTTGGTTAGCCCACTGAGCTATAGAGTTCTTTTTTCAGAAGAGACCTGGCCACAAATGATAGCCTAACGAAGTGGCTGATTATGTGGAAATGTAAAGCAGCCCAAAACTCGAAACGCACGTTTCTAAATGTAGTGGGAAAAAACGCAGGACCTGGAGAAAATTGCACATGATCAAGGGAAGAGAGAACATGCTAACTCCAAATATACAGCAGGCGTCAGGGTCGGAATCAAACCCATGGCCTCCTGTATACTAGGCGAGGTAGTTAACGTCTCACCACCGCTGGCGCAGGAGACTTCTCCTGCCGGAGCAAGGCAGCACAGGCAATCATGCCTCAATTCCAGCACCACATGTCAGCCGAGCCAGCGCAACACACTCTGCCAAATAACCACTTTAAATCCCATGTATCAAGCTCCAAACAGGAATAAATAAAACGCCTTCGATTAATTTCTTTAAAACGTAGCACCTATCTGGAAGCCTTATAAATCTCATTATGTTCTGAAGTTTAACACAGGCAAGCCAAAGTGATGAACAAAGTCTATTTTATACCGTGCAAGATATGACATAAAATCAACATGGTACAACACCGCCGTTTAATGCAGAGTGTCTACTCATTACGTACATTTATTGTGCCGTACTTTGTTCTAAATTTTGCAAAATGCACAATACGCTCAAATGAGAGGATAGTGCAGCTCTTGCTTCAGTACAAAATGTTAGTGGCGCGTCATTGGTTATAAAGTTGTCGACTTTCTGTATCTTTACAATGAACAAAGGAAATGTCTTAGTCTATCGGCCTATTGGTATTTTAGATGTACCCCAGCAGCAATCGTTTGGCAAAGAAAATTTGCATCATATTTCAGCTCCTGGTTCTCATCAGCAGTCAAGTTTGGGAAACAAACACCGCTCGTTTACCAAATGTTATTGGTAAGAGGACTCCCTCCAAATGACGGAGGGCCTCGGTACCAACAAAAAGATTGTACAAAAGTGCATTATTTGCCATAGATAGAGTGTTCTACTCCGGGACCGAGAATGGCCCAATGATGCAGAAAGAGGTGATTTAAGATCATTGGTTAAGCACCCACAGCAGCATACAGTGGCGTGTATTCAAACATCAGCAACAGGTTTTAGTTACCTCATTGATTTCCACTTTGTGACCCGTAACATCATATGCTCCTCCTGCAAAGCAAGGGAATGCAATTAGTCCTAGCAATGACATTTTAACACGATTTAAAACTTATCTTAAGTATAGTGCCCAGGACATGGTAAAACAACTAATGAGCACAGATCCACACTAAAAGCAACAAACGTGGACACAATGTAACAGGCTGTAATAATTTAAGAAATCCAATCCAGTTAAAAGTGTATAGCATAAAGCATACAGCAGTGAACACTCTTCCACAAAAAAACTGATACAAGGTAGCAGCCAAAGTTTGTTCTTATATTTATAAATCGTAGGCGATTTAGACCCAAACGAATGATGTCAATAACAACAACCACAGCAACAATAATCAACAACTACGGTGCATATAGCAGTATCAAATTAGATTTCATGCAATTCGGTCGTGGGTAATAATTTCGGTGCAAAACATTAAGACATTGGTAGTTTTTGCCTCTGGGTAGTATTGCCATATGACACATTACAAGAACAAGTGTGCAATTGATAAAAGGTCAGAGTTCATTTTGGTCTAATTTAAATATCCACAAAAGGCGAAACATTCATGAGTGCTTCATTAACGGCACAATGGCTCCGTGATCTCTTCAGTCAACTCGCCCTAAAGCACCGTGCTCCGCAAACCGCCCGACCATCACAATTTGCAAAGACGTTCACATTTTTCCTATTTCACAAGGAACATCACACAATGCCCACGTATATAACCTACATGTCAAGATGCACACGTACAGTGAGGGAAAAAAAAGTATGTGATCCCCTGCTGATTTTGTACATTTGCCCACTGACAAAGAAATGATCAGTCTATAATTTTAATGGTAGGTTTATTTGAACATTGAAAAACAGAATAACAAAAAAAATCCAGAAAAACGCATGTCAAAAATGTTATAAACACATATACATGCCCGTCTGAAGTTTGCCAATGAACACCTGAATGATTCAGAGGACAACTGGGTGAAAGTGTTGTGGTCAGATGAGACCAAAATGGAGCTCCTTGGCATCAACTAAACTCGCCGTGTTTGGAGGAGGAGGAATGCTGCCTATGACCCCAAGAACACCATCCCCACCGTCAAACATGGAGGTGGAAACATTATGCTTTGGGGGTGTTTTTCTGCTAAGGGGACAGGACAACTTCACCGCATCAAAGGGACGATGGACGGGGCCATGTACCGTCAAATCTTGGGTGAGAACCTCCTTCCCTCAGCTAGGGCATGGAAAATGGGTCGTGGATGGGTATTCCAGCATGACAATGACCCAAAACACACGGCCAAGGCAACAAAGGAGTGGCTCAAGAAGAAGCACATTAAGGTCCTGGAGTGGCCTAGCCAGTCTCCAGACCTTAATCCCATAGAAAATCTGTGGAGGGAGCTGAAGGTTCGAGTTGCCAAACGTCAGGCTCGAAACCTCAATGACTTGGAGAAGATCTGCAAAGAGGAGTGGGACAAAATCCCTTCTGAGATGTGTGCAAACCTGGTGGCCAACTACAAGAAACGTCTGACCTCTGTGAATGCCAACAAGGGTTTTGCCACCAAGTACTAAGTCATGTTTTGTAGAGGGGTCAAATACTTATTTCCATCATTAAAATGCAAATCAATTTATAAAATTTTTGACATGCGTTTTTCTGGATTTTATTGTTGTTATTCTGTCTCTCACTGTTCAAATAAACCTACCATTAAAATTATAGACTGATCATTTCTTTGTCAGTGGGCAAACGTACAAAATCAGCAGGGGATCAAATACTTTTTTCCCTCACTGTACATTTGCACCTCCGATTAGCGCGGTTGGTTACGTACGGCGCAAAATAAGTTCAACATACAATAAATTTCTGTTGTGTTTTAATAATTTTTATGCGCATTTACTCGCCTATCAAGAAAAGTGGACGAATTCTTTCTGTCTGAATTTCAGTTCTAATAAAATGACATGCGATGCCCAACTGTAAAGCCAATTCGTGATACCAAGAATGATAATCCACCACCTCTAAATGAAGTATGGTCAAATACCCCCCACAACGCACAAGCTGCGGGTGGGGAGGAACCTCATCCAGCAGTGGATTGACAAAACGCCTGTACATGCACCGTCAGCAAGCCATCGCGTGACAAATCCGACAAGAGTCAAGGTTGTCTGATTAATTATTTTTACGGTTGTAATTTTCCCTACTCGCGTCAAAAAGTCAACCAAAAGCTCAATGCCACGTTACGCTGGACCCGAACAGGATACGCTTCACGAGCAACGCATGCAATGCTTCCACACGAAGGGGCCGGGGAGGCAGCAATACAATGCAAAATTTTCCATCTGATGAGATGAATAGAAAACAGCACGATTAATAATGAAATGAATGCACTCTGCTCATCCGGTGAAGCGCATCGCGTTGAAAACATCCTCGATTAATAATGAATCTCTACTGTCCCGCCGACTCCGTGCGCGGCTACAGAATGTTTCGCCTCAACAAGGGGAGGAACGAGGAAGGCCTTCCACGACTGCAGCAGCAACAGCCACGAAAACTCGCGTAAATGATACAACTGTTGGCGTGCGACATTACCCATCTTCGTGTTACACTCGTAAAGCGGTGCATATTTGTTTGCTTGTAATACTGTTAAAAGTCTTAGGCTGGCAACTAGGCCTCGGCAAGGTATGGTAATTTACCTTTATTACCGGGTAAAAGGGTAAAGGGTAAAGGTGTGGACATGCCAAGGGGTAAGGTAAACGGTAGGGTAAAGGTAGCGCGGAAGAATTACCCAGTAGGGTAAAGGTAGCGCGAAGTATTACCCGCTAAATACGGTGCCTTGTTGACCACTAAAAGCTCCGTGGCACAGTCCGTGGCCTCCATTTAATAAGTAATATTTTTTTTAAACTTTTTTAAAAACACGCTATTATGAAATCTACGAGTAATGACAGAACTCCACGACTCCAGGAAGTGGCCCCGAAGCTCGCCACAACGTAAGGGGCCGTGGGCAATTACAGCCAACGTCAGTTGACAGTGGACAATTAGAGCCAAGCCGAAACATAACATAAAAAATAATGTTTAAAAATATTTGTATTTTATTTTTAATGATAGAATATAGTATTGTCATCAGTATGACATAAGTATACCAAGTTTGCAGTCGAAACCACATTGGGAAGTGGGTTAAAATTGAGTTACAAGATTTGAGGATACAACAATGACAACAACAGAGTGAGTTTAAAGAAAGCGTGTAAAATTGGAATAATCGAGAGTATTCTATAGATGAATAAAGCACTCTACCTAGCATTTGCCTGTTATAAACCTTTTTCATATGTAGTACCCCAGTAATTACCCTATAATCGGGTAATTTGTATGGGGTAAAGGTAAAAAAGGTAGGGTAAAGGTAGGCTCGTTGCCTTTAACCTTTTACCTTACCTGCTGAAGAGTAAAAGGTAGGGTAGAGTGATTGTATTGTGGTAAGGTAGGGTAAAGGTAGGCTCGTTGTTTTTTATCTTTTACCTTTTACCTTACCGTGCCAAGGCCTGCTGGCAACAGAGGCAAGGTGAAGCAGTGGAAATGTCTTGCCGTTGTTTTTGAATTAAAATTGCACATTACGGAGCCTTTTCCGGCAGACGTCATCACGTCTTGTGAATCATTAATAGGGCACGTGACACAGGATAAGCGTGTGTGTGTGTTTGTGTGATCCTCCTCCTGGCTTGCCAGGCACTTAACCACATAAGGGAGGGTATCTATACCAATAATTTTATCTTAATAGGATATACACAAAAAGTACGATTGAGAAAAAACATTTTTTTTAATATATATTTGTTGTCCAGCAAGGTATACATACTGCGTGTATAATCACGCACAAGCTGACGAGCCAGTGCTATAACCTTCAGTTAAAAAAAAAAACCTTTGGACACAACCTTAATCCACATACAACACATCATTATTACCATTACTGTTATCTATTGTCATTCATCATCTATCATCAACATCATCGCATGCTCATTAGCTGCATAAAATAATAAAGTTTTTCCGGTACCTATATTTGTTTAAATATGACCACACACACAACCTGAATTATTAGGAGGGACACAAAGCAAATATACAAGTAAATTAATACACAAACACCTTCTGCATTGTCACAGGCAGTGTGTAAAACCGTGAGGTTTTTTTTTTACCGAATCACTGTCCACGCCAATTCGGTCACTGGGAATGAAACGTGGAGGTCATCTCCTCCTTGGCGAGTGCAGAAGAGCTGCGTGCGAGGGCACACGTGTGTGTGTTTGTGTGCACTTTTGCACTTGCGTGTTCAGGTGTGCTCATTGGCAGCACTTGCCCCAACAGTCAGTTCAGGTCTACATGGGGGGACATTTGCCTTTGTGGAAAAGCACATATATATAAAAGCAGAACTCCATTTTGATTCATGTTTAATAGTTTGGTAAGGCCAACAGAAAAGTTTCGCGATTAACCCACAGCGCACCGCAATAACGCAAGGCGGTGGTGCTGCCTCCGTGCGTACCGTAAACGCGGCCGTTGATGGAGCACTTGTTGAAGGTCATGATGTTCTGCGTGAGCGTGCCCGTCTTATCGGAGAAGATGTACTCGATTTGCCCGAGCTCCTCGTTGAGCGTGGTGGTGCGCACCTCAGCCGGCGTGTCCCGCTTTCCGTAGTACATCTTGCGGTCCCAGTTGATGAAATAGCTGTGGCCTAACCGTATAACCTCCACACTGCACAGCGAGGGGGGGGGTACAGACGTCACGCGGGCGGCGAGACCTCAACGGTGCTCGTTATTGCAACGACCGGCCGAGGCCATCGCAGGTTATACCCACGCCTGTAGGTACGGTACTCAATACTTATGGCGCCGAGACTATTGATATCTCTGTGTCGCGATCCCGCGGGTGCTATTGAAACACAGTAGAGATGGGACGATTGCTTGATTGATCGACTGAAAATAACGCAGTTAATACTTTTGTGTGGTCGATCACTTGGAACACTTTAAAAATGGCGACCGCCCCCACATTATGCCTCCATACCTTCTCAACCCCTCATCAGTGCCGCTACCTTATTACAGACCAATTCAGACCTTATTGGTCACCCCGTGCCCTTATAAATCTCAACGTTCAACCTACAATTCCCCTCACAAGGGAGAAACACAAATAAATAGATTTTTTTAAAAATAGATCAAAAACTAAATATATATTTTGCCCGTATTGAAACGGCTGTACGCCGTATGGACGTAAAAACTCAATTTCCCTGTACAAGAATACGGCTAAAGCACATGGGTTGACAGGGTATGTGCCTCTCCGAAGGCGGGAAACCCCCGTCAAGCAATGCCCCAGTGCGATGCGGCCTACGATGCCAATGACATCAACGAGCCCAGCACATCACCTCCTGTCCAGCGGCACACGTGGGAATAGAAGTGAGACTTTTTTTCTGTTTTCGTGTCGTCCGATTATGTTAAGTGATCGTACCGATAATCGGCAGAGTAATCGATTACTTATATTAACCGGATAGTACAGGTCTGCAGTAAAGTATTTTCGTGGTAACTTCAGAGTACACACATGATACCACACGACAACAGGTGGTATTGCTCGATACAGACAGTAACCTGGAATTGTCAAATTTCGGTTCCAGGCAATACCTGGGTAGTGATTATATGGGAAATAGTTTGGTCCGGTGTTAAGCCAACTCGTCTATTTAGAGAAAACGAAGTTTAACTTAAGGATCGTGGCAATACCATGGAGTGTATTTTGACCCGATATCGGGATTTCCAGTAACTCCACATGAAAAATTAGTTAGCGTTACTACCACATCATAATAATACCAAGTTTTAAATGCTCACTGGGACTCACTACGGGTGGAGTCTCAGGATATATTTAGCCGTGTTTAAACTTGAGCGGATGTGTTAAGCATATCCTGTACACACACACACACACCTATAGCCCTATCATCGAGGCATCAGTGCACAGAATCATGGCCTGTGTTTTTATAAAACTGCTGAAACGATTGTTACATTCGACGATGCGAACGTATACAGAGTTAGACACGAGCGCTTGACCACATCCCGTTTTGTCAGATCTCGGGAAGCTAAGCAGGATTGATGACCCGCTGTGAAGAAGTGCCAGTCGCCTGAACCAACACAGACGAAAACGTCTTGCATTTATAAAGGAAATATGGCAAATAATATTATCATAATCTAAGACACGGGTCATCTATATAAGTGGTTGCCACGGGTGCCAGACTCACCCCGTTATCCGCAGGTGGTGAAATCTTATTCCCAATATCTGGGCTTTTCTACAAAGGACGGGTCATCTGCAAATGGTCTCCCGCAAGTGCCAAGTTTACCCTATTATGTGCAGCTTTCCCCCGGATAATAGTTATCCAGAAGTGGTTGAAAAAAATCATCTTATTCGTGTTTACCCACAATTATGTACGTGGACAAAAGGAGCAAATCGTCCTAAAGATGTGTGGATAAGATGATCCACGTGATAGGGAAAGTGCCTCTTAAACCAAAGAACACAAGAAATGATACGTTTAAACAACTATATTTCCAAAGATAATACGGAAATTAAGCTATTGCTTTCATGGATCTCTCGTGCCCCGTCTTTGCATAGCTCGCTGGTCTGTGCCAACATTTTCGCAGCTTGTATCCTGAATGTCTCCTTGTATCCTGAATGTACCCACGGAGTCTCTTGATTAGGAATCTCACTGTCTCAGCAGGGTCTTCATTGGGTGTTTGGTTACACGAATTAACGCCTGCTGCTGTTGTTGAAACAAAGTCAACTGCCAAACAGTTGAGCAATAGCAGAAGCTAGCAAAATGTAAAAGGGGCATCCAACAATGCATTGCAACCTTACATTAAAGGCCTCCTAATGGTCTAGAAGTGGGAGGAACAGTGGTTAGCGCATTGCACTATAAACCTAGCGACCTGAGTTTGAGTCTAAGCTACAGCCGCCATCGGTGACGAATTACATCTAAACTGATGCTGGACAACCCCCCTTCACTAACCTGCGCTTCACAGCATGGTGAAGTATGGTCACATCATTCCAATGAGCAACAAGGCATAGGGAGAGCCCCTTTGTCTATCAGCCGATTGACAAAGGATTGTAATTAAATACACGTTGTCTATACCGTGCAGTCAACAGTGTTCATGAATTACTCTTTGGTTCTTTCGGTAAAGTCACATAGAAAGAAAAAAATAAATTCAATAATATTTGTTTCTTTCTACATGACTTTACCGAAAGAACCAAAAAGTAATTCCTGCAGTCACGAAAGCTCCAAATCAAGTGTTCATGAAGCCAATCAGCACATGGCCATGTAACACAACGAGTGGTTTAATTACAAATGCAAACACCTTTAATCACATGGCTGTTTATTTAGCTTAAATAGCAGAAATCCACTTTAAGACCCTGTAAAGTTTACCGGAGGAATGTTCCGTCTCTGAGTCATGCTCACCAAGCTGATGCAAACACCACAGCCACTGGCGAACGCAAATATTCCACTTGGCTGTAACAAATGTGTACATGGCAAGCAAAGCGAAGATCCCCCGTGTAGCCTATAGCAGACTGTTGGAGCAAGTGCTGTCAGCGAGCACCTACGGAAGCCGGCACGGTACACGACGGGGAGGGTGGCCAGCACCACGCCCGGCCGACTTTGTCTCCCGAGTGGCGATGTTTACACATCGCACCAAGTACTAATTTGAGGCTGAGTCGACCTAGGGGGATGCCCGGGACTGGTTCAGATAATCGTCACCGGTAACCGGCCGTGGGTGGGAATTGAACTCGTGCCGCCGGGTTTGTAGCGCTGGGTGCTAACCGCAACTCCATTGCTCACCGTACACCTCATGAGTCAGACACACACAAGCAGGGTAATGGCAGGGCTTGCTGGCCAAAAGGAAGGGGATGAACCACAATAATACCTCGCACCTCCGATTATTATCGGAAGTGCGAAATATTATTAGCAGAGTTGGCTACGAACGGCACGAAAGAAGTTCAACATACAAAGATTCATGGTGCATTTGTAATATGGACCAACACAGTGGCCTACTGTTCCGAGTGGTGTCAGGATCATTAAAATCCAGATTTGCCATAAGTTGCTTTTATGTTTTACAGCATTATAAAATAAGGGCCTATCACTATGTAAAGACACTGTGCACCAGTGGGGGTACGCAGACGCTCATTATGAGACCTTGATGATGTTCTGCATCATTACTGGGCATGGGCGATATGACAACGGCCAATCCGCTGCAACGTCTTGTGTGGCAATGTACTAACCAAGCCAATTTCAACGTATGCCAATTGGCATTTCCTTTAGCCACCATACAATAACACTACGTTATTTGACGAAACCAATATACATTCTCAACAGTGATATAAATAATCGAATGTCGACCCTGACTCACAAGCGTGTGTGGAATTTACAATATGCTGAATCGACAAACCCTCACGATGCGCGATACATCCAGAGCAGTGGTTCTCAGCCGGGGGTACACGGACCCCAGGGGGTACGTGGCAATGTCCCAGGGGGTACGTGGCAATGTCCCAGGGGGTACGCGACGTGATTCATAAAGCTGCGAAATGATGTCATACATGAGAGTCATGGGTGAAAAATCACGTATGAATATGCCAATATAAAATAAGTATGATAGATTATGTCAATCCATATGATAATCTAGAACCATGATGGGTCAGGCAAGGGGGTACTCGGTTGAAACAAAACTCAACAAGGGGTACAGCAGCCAAAAAAGGTTGAAGAACCACCGATCTAGACCGTAATTCTGCTTGACCCATCACAACCAGATACGTTACAATGCGATGGCAGTTCTTAAGCAACGGCAACAACTCCAGGGAAACTAGCTTCGCGACGGGCTGACGGTACCTGCTATTTAGTTTTCCTTGGCACCACAAACGACACCATGGGGATATCTGCGTAAAGGACGCGGCGTTCTCAAGCGCTCGACCGTCAGCGGTTAAAAGTTTGCCCAAGCTGAGACACAATCGCCGTGAAACACCTTGGCAGGACGTCTCGCTCGCTCGCAGCGCTGACAAAAGGAGGACGCAAACTCCTACAGCGGCGTGGCTCTTTGCAGTTCGCGTGCGAGCGGGCGGGCGGGCAAGCGAGCGGCAACAGGTTCCACGCGGCACAGGATATCAACCGCAAACCTTCAACTTAACCTACTTCATCACAACAACTCAAATAACATTTGCAAACGTAAATAAGCAGTCTAGGATGGGATTTTTTAAATGATGGATTGTGCTTTTTTGCTTTGCGCAAGCGTCTGCTCTACGTAATACGTCATTCTCCGTGCTCTGCGCGTACACTCAAATGCATTCAGTCCTTTCCTTTGTAAAAGTAAACGTCTACTCTCCATTGGCTTTCACTGCAATGTGTTTCCAGGTGCGGACATGTTAAGAGTGGAGCTTCTCAGTGCGGGGTTTCTACTTGCTGGATGACCAAAATCAAGGCTGCAAATGCGAATTCATTGCGCGCTCATATCATGTTTCAAACATTGCATATCCCCCGCATTCCAAGTACAGTGAGGGAAAAAAGTATTTGATCCCCTGCTGAATTTGTACGTTTGCCCACTGACAAAGAAATGATCAGTCTATAATTTCAATGGTAGGTTTATTTGAATAGTGAGAAACAGAATAACAAAAAAATCCAGAAAAACGCATGTCAAAAATGTTATAAATTGATTTGCATTTTAATGAGGGAAATACGTATTTGA